ACATACCTTATGACAATACATATGTGGACGTGGCAAGCGGCCTCAATGTTGATAAAGACGAACCCGGAACAGGCCTGGGCTGGTGGCAGATCAAACAGGTAATGACCCTTGGTTTTACCTACAGGTTCTGATAAAAAAAGGGATGAAAACGGCAGGGATAATAGTATATTAACCTTGCAATAAGTAATTCCTGTGGGCGAAATAAAAATATTTCATACAAAATCACTACCTTCGCCCACATTTTTAAATAGAACTTCAAGATTTTTAATAATTAGACAATGGCAGACTTACGCTATCAGCGGAACTTCGGCATTGCCGCACACATTGACGCGGGCAAGACCACAACTACAGAACGTATCTTACGTTATACCGGTATGATTCACCGTATTGGTGAGGTGCATGATGGCGCCGCTACTACGGATTGGATGGAGCAAGAGAAAGAGCGTGGCATTACCATCACTTCAGCTGCCGTTAGCTGTAAGTGGGGTTTCCCAACCAATAAGGGTAAGGCTGATGATAACACAAAGGAATATTCCTTTAACATCATCGATACACCGGGTCACGTGGATTTTACCGTAGAGGTAGAACGTTCTATGCGTGTACTGGATGGTCTGATCGCATTGTTTTCTGCCGGTTGATGGTGTAGAGCCACAATCTGAAACAGTATGGCGCCAGGCCAACCGTTACCGTGTTACCCGTATCGGTTTCGTAAATAAAATGGACCGTATCGGTGCTGACTTCCTGATGGTGGTGCAGCAGGTGAAAGACATGCTGGGCGCTAAAGCAGTTACCTCTTCAGTTACCAATCGGTGCGGAAGATGGCTTTACCGGTGTGGTTGACCTTATTAAGATGAAAGGTATCATCTGGCATATGGAAACAGAAGGTATGACCTTCGACGAAATTCCGGTACCGGAAGATATGGTGGAAGAAGTGAACTTCTGGCGCCAGAACCTGATCGAAGCAGTTGCTGAATATGATGAAGCGCTGTTGGAGAAATTCTTCGATGACCCGAACACCATTTCAGAAGACGAAGTGCACGAAGCAATCCGTAAGGCTTGTATCGACCTGAGCATTGTGCCGATGATGTGTGGTTCTTCCTTTAAGAATAAGGGTGTACAAACTGCCCTGGATGCGGTTTGCCGTTACCTGCCTTCTCCAATGGATATTGAAGAGATCACAGGTACCGATCCTGATGATGCAGAAAAGATCCTGACGCGTAAGCCTAGTGCAAAAGAACCATTCTCTGCATTGGCCTTTAAGATCATGACCGATCCTTTCGTAGGTCGTCTTGCATTCTTCCGCTGCTATTCCGGTCACCTGGATGCAGGTTCTTATGTACTGAACGTAAGAAGCGGAAAAAAAGAACGTATCAGCCGTATCATGAAGATGTTTGCCAACAAGCAAAATCCAATTGACTTCATTGAAGCGGGCGATATTGGCAGCAGCTGTTGGTTTTAAGGATATCAAAACCGGTGACACGCTTTGCGACGAAAAACACCCGATCGTACTTGAAAATATGTTCATCCCTGAGCCTGTAATCGCAATTGCTGTTGAGCCTAAGGCACAACCAGACGTTGACAAAATGGGTATGGCGATTCCAAGCTGGTAGAAGAAGATCCAACACTGCGCGTAAATACAGATGAAGAAACCGGTCAGACCATCCTTCGTGGTATGGGTGAGTTGCACCTGGAAATCATCATCGACCGTATGAAGCGTGAGTTCAAGGTGGAAATCAACCAGGGTGCTCCTCAGGTAGCTTATAAGGAAGCGCTGACTGCAATGGTTACGCACCGTGAAGTATTCAAGAAGCAAACAGGTGGTCGTGGTAAGTTTGCCGATATCGAATTTGAGATCGGACCTGCTGACGAAGAATTCCTGAAAGAAGGTAAGGGTTCTTACCAATTCGTAAATAAGATCGTAGGTGGTTCTATTCCCAAGGAATTTATCCCTGCTATCCAGAAAGGTTTCGACGTTTCCATGACTACCGGTGTACTCGCAGGTTTCCCTGTTGAGAACATGAAGGTGACTGTATTCGACGGTTCTTTCCACAATGTGGATTCTGATGCGATGTCTTTCGAGCTTTGCGCAAAGAGTGGTTACCGTGAGGCTGCCCGCAAGGCCAAGCCAATCATCCTGGAACCCATCATGAAAGGTAGAAGTACTGACCCCGGACCAGTACATGGGTGATGTTAACCGGTGACCTTAAACCGCCGCCGTGGTATGCTGGAAGGTATGGATAGCCGTAACAACCTGCAGGTGATCAAGGCGAAAGTACCATTGAGCGAAATGTTTGGTTA